AAGAGCAAAAGGTAGAAAACTAACAGTTTTAAAGCGGGGCTTGAATCATTTATGACAAGGATTTGTGGGATGCAATTGCTTGCAATAGCGAAGTTGGGTGTATATGAAAGATGACATTCCAGTCTTGGTTTTTCTCTGTCTTGACCCTTTCTCTAGCTTTCTTCTTGAAAATGTAGAGTCTGCATCAAAAAGTCAGCACCATTTATTTTCAGCAGCTGAAAACATAGACATCCTTAAGATATGTGAGCCACAATCATTCAACTTAGTTTGGTGGAAAACCTAATTCTCTGTCAAAACTCTTTTCCACTAAAATATGAATTTCTCCAACAATCATTTGATACCTGGAACTTTCTTGGGCAAACTAGCAAATGGGTTAATTTACTTCAACCCGAGCAATTCCATGAAGAAAGAAGGTCTCCTGTCTTGGCAATTTGTGTTTCTCGTTTGGATACTCAGCTTTCTAATAAAATACAGATTCTAGTTAAACTTCTTCTGCTGGTTGAGTTATCTCTGTGTTCCTTCACTCGTACACATACACACACACACATATGTTTTCTGGTAATTATTAAGGGTAAGGTTACATCACAAATTTTCACTTAGCTGAAAAATCAATACCCAATCACCTTTTTTTCATTAAACCTACAGGAACTTACTATCTTGAAAGCCCTATCTCTGTTTCAGATTTCATTAGTATTCACCAACTGATTTAAAAGTTATCCAGACGAGGCAGATGAGCTGACCGGATCATCACATGGCTGCATTTCTTTCAGGAGCAAGTCTAGGAGGACATACTCATCTGAGGTGATATACTTAGAAATCCCTGAAAAAATAGCAGTAAATTGTCATTTTCTAGAATGGGAACTCAGTGAAAAGTTATGACAAAAAATAAGACCTCATGATGCATATGTAAGGCCGTTAAGCATAACATTATCTTCATTTAATAGAAGATGGTTATGTCAGTCTAAATACCAGTATAAACCTGGGTAGTTTATTTAACGTGACATTTTGAGGTGCTATTTTTACATCTTCTTTTGATGTGATGAAGTTCACAGTTCATTATAATATGAACAGTTGGAGACTTAGATTCAAATTGAAATATCAGAAAGGTTAGTAATATTTTTTCCTGCTAAGCAGAGTAAAACAAAAAGAGTGCACCTATGTTTGTGGGTTCCTCTACCTCATACTGTAGCTTAGAATCATTGAATCATAGAATCATTTAGGTTGGAAGAGACCTTGAAGATCATCAAGTCCAACCATTAACCTAGCACTGCCAAGACCGTCACTAAACCACGTCCCGAAGTACCACAATTACATGTTTTTTATATGTCTCCAAGGATGATGACTCAACCATTTCCCTGGGTAGCCTGTTCCAATGCCTGACAAACCTTTCTGTGAAGAAATTTTTCCTAATATCCAATCTAAACCTCCCCTGGCGCAACTTGAGGCCATTTCCTCTTGTCCTAAAGATATAGATAGGATCTAGTAGTCACTGAATTGAAAAACAAATATCAAAGATGCCACTTCATGAAGTGCAACATAACTCTAGGAGAACTATCCTTCTAACAGACTTTTGAGGGGACCTGCCAGAATTACTCCCCTTACTTGACTGTCTCCCCATTCCTGGAGTGGAAGGTCATTCACACCTAAAAGTACACATTTGCATTGTATGCACTGTTCATTACAGCTCTTGCTACTTCTCTTTGTTTCTCAGTGTTCTTCAGTCCTCAGTTCCTCAGTATTTGTCTCCTACTGTCTGATGAAAAGGGACATCATTTGGTGGAATAGTAGAGCTAGATAGTGCAGCTTTAGTCTGAATTTTACTTCTTTCTGGTTTTGTTTGGCACAGTCACCTTTTTAATATCTTTTTCTCTATTTTTCCCCTTTACACAGCACTAATAAGCTGATTTGTGTGCTGATGTCTGTTCTGTATAGACTATTCATATGTCCATACTGGTCAACTAAGAGAATAAGAATTATTTATAACAATTACACAGAGCTGTTTGTTTTAAGACCTTAGAGTTGATTTTGGCTGTGCTCCATGCAATTATTGGTTGATGCTCATGGTGTCTTTCATATATTATTTTGTCTCCTCCCCTTTTCTTTCCCTTACTTTGCAGGCAGGGAACGCTACCTGATTTTAAAGGACTGAAAGCCATGTCTTTCAGGCCCTACTTGTGTCTTTATCACATTCTCACAACATAGCTTCTCTGTGACCTGATTTCTTAACTGATAAAATACCTGCCTTAGATGTTAGGAGGAAGCAAGGGAGTATCTTATTCCTTTGCAGTCTATATCAAAAACTCAGTGTCTTTCTTTTGAACATCTTCTTATACTATATGAGAAGAGACATCACAGGCCACATCAGTGTTTCTGTGGTTTTGCATCTGAAGGAGTGTAGCAATGGATCTGTAGGGAGGGATTACAAAAAGCAGGACAGTGCCCATCTTCTGACACTTGGTGCTTTAGAGATTTCCTGAGCTAGCACTTGCATCTAGAACATATGTTTACTATCTGCTGATGGACTGCCCTCAAAATGTATTATATAGGGGAGGTTGTATTGGGTTTGTGTCATACTGGGGACTTCTAGAATAAATGTTTCTTAAGCTATGAAGTCACTGTTTTAATAGTAATAATGTATATGAACTCTGCTTGTCTACTGAAGCTTCCTCTCTGGCAGACTATCCTCTTCCCAATTTCTAGTCTAAAATAATATTCTTCATCTCTCTGCCAAATGCAGTCCTTTCTAAATAGGAACATTTAGCATATTTCCCTAGATTTTCCCTTAGAATCATAGAATCATAGAATGGTTAGGGTTGGAAGGGACCTCAAAGATCATCTAGTTCCAATCCCCCTGCCATGGGCAGAGAAACCCTCCACTACACCAGGTTGCCCAAAGCCTCATCCAACCTGGCATTCAACACTTCCAGGGATGGGGCATCTACAACTTCTCTGGGCAACCTGATCCACTGCCTCACCACCCTCACAGTGAAAAATTTCTTCCTTATATCTAATCGAAATCTACCCTCTTTCAATTTAAATCCATTGCCCCTTATCCTATCACTACACGCCCTTGCAAAAAGTCCCTCGCCAGGTTTCCTGTAGGCCCCCTTTAAGTACTGGAAAGCTGCTATAAGATCACTCCAGAGCCTTCTCTTCTCTAGGCTGAACAGCCCCAACTCTCTCAGCCTGTCTTCATAGCAGAGGTGCTCCAGCCCTCGGATCATCTTTGTGGCCCTCCTCTGGACCTGCTCCAGCAGCTCCATGTCCTTCTTGTGTTGGGGACTCCAGAGCTGAACTCAGTATTCCAGGTGGGGTCTCACAAGAGCAGAGTAGAGGGGAAGAATCACCTCCCTCGACCTGCTGGCCACAAAAATTTTCCCTTATGACATTGTAGACTCACAACTTACTGTCTTGTTTGTAAGTGCTGTCTTTGTCAATCCAATACCAAGCAACCATCAGCTATTTGGGTAGAACACTTGTTTGCTTTGTATCGTCATGCTATTTCAGATGCAAACAAATACTTTAATTTGAATGCAGATGTCTCATTGAAATTAACCTGATGGGTGTAGGTTTCTAAATGTGCATTGCTTACAGCTGGAAGACACCTGATTTTTCAAATGCATCCATGTGTCTTTGTTTCTAGGTTTTACAAGGCTTTTGAAACAGAAGCAGGTTTTGGGGAGTTTTGTTTGTGCCTGAGGCCCAAGCACTTCGAATCTGCATCTCACAGGGAGAAAGCAGGCCACCTCCCACCAGTGTTCACTACATCTTTCCGGGAAGATGACAGCTGTGTTGACAGGTAGACTGAACTTTTTTTGTGTTTCACAGGGCATAATCTCTTTAGATTGGATGTGATCAAGCCTTTAGTCTGCTTAGGCTCACATATAAGCCACAAAAACTTTGGTGTGTAAAATACATAGAATTATTCAGGCAGAAAATGTAAAATGCTGCATGATTTGTTTCTTTTCTGCATAGAGTCTGGGATTGAATAATGCTGATTGAAAGTGAGGAGACTCCAAATTTGTGGAACATTGGCAATTTTGGCACTAAAGTGCATTTTCTTTCAAAGCGAGGGATGCCTAATGGGGCTGGCCTGAAAATGATTGCGCCAAACCCTACAGGTGGCAAAACAGGACCTCAAAAACTGTTGTGAATAAAGTCCTTATTTTGAGCACAAAGAAACCTTGTTCTCCTACAGTTATATTGCACTTTGTGAAGTGGCATCTTTGATCTTTGTTTTTCAACTCAGTGACTACCAGATCCAATCTCTGCACAAGGAAAAGGCTATTTATTATCTTCCCTTTTCCCCTGGGGAAAGTGACTGGAACAAGTAGGTTTCACATTTGCTTTTATTTACTTTTTAAAGAGTTGGTAAATATATGTGTGTACACACATACATAAATACACTGGTTTGTGTGTGTGTGTTTGTGTGTCTTAGATCAAGGTTTATGAGGAAGAAAGGAAATAGCCTGTGAATTCTTTTGCTAGATTCAGGGAGGGCATCCTGTCAGTGTACCCTATGGCTAACAGGGGCAGTAAGGCTCCTTTCCAACCTGTACATATACCTGTACATATACTACCTGCAGTCCCGTGCTGTTGTTTGCATCCTATTCACTTGCACAGACTCTGGCCTGCTGTGAAAATTAGGATGGTCCAAACAAGTTCAGCAATCGAAAGCAACCTGGAATGAAACTTCAGCTCCTAATTGAATTGGGACAGTGATGGATATCAGAGCCCACAAGACACTATAGCAGCATAAAAACACACATTAGGAATCAATACTTGAAACAAGGCATGGTTAAACTGAACAAGCACATTTTTCACTGGTTTAGACCAACCTCATCTAGGAGGAGCTAATGAATCATTGTAATATCAACGACAAAACATCACGGGATATATTCTTTTTCTTACAAAACTACTTCTGAAAACTAAAGCAACATCCTAAGATCACTAAATTTGAGACTACAGTGACCAATTCCATTATGTGTTCTAAACTTAAAGGGAGAAAGAAATGGAATGTATTTCTGCATTTATCACTTTATTTCCTTTCATTCTTAGTTTGACTTCTTCCTCTGTCATACTCCATATTTATAGATAATTTTGCTTTCATTGCAGATATATTCCATCTATCTAACCATTAAGCATCCAAGAAATTGACAGTTATATTAGAAAGTTTAGTTTCTGTACAAGAGATGATGTTATGCAAGTGAATGATTTAATCTGCACAATAAGCAAAAAAAAAAAGTGTATTACATTACTATTTATTTGCTAGAGCATGAAAAGGCCTCAGTCATGTGTTTTCTACAAACTTATCTGTAGTTTGTCTTTCTCTGAGAGATAACATCATAGAATCATAGATTGGTTGGAGTTGGAAGGGACCTCAAAGATCATCTAGTCTACTGTTTTATAATTAACTTCATAAAATTGCACTGAAAATTTGTTTGTTAATGTGGCCTAATCCAGGAATCCTTACTGGGATGAAACTCTTTAAGTCAGTAGAGTTTAGTCTGAGGAACTTTGTTAAATAAAGCAGGATGCGTGTGTCTGGCTGTATGCACACACAGTAACAACGTTTGGTGTAGAGAATCACAGAACGTTAGGGATTGGAAGGGACCTCAAAGGATCATCTAGTCCAATCGCCCTGCTGGAGCAGGACCACCTAGATCAGATCACACAAGAACGTGTTCAGGAGGGTTTCGAACATCTCCAGAGAAGGAGACTCCACAACCTGAGAGTTCTGTTATGAGAGGAAAAGACTTTAGTCTTCAATGCTATTTTGCATATTTAGTCCTTTCCTCTTTTTATGAGTGTATAAAAACAGTATCACACAGTGTCAGGCCATGGAGATTTCTTTGTTAAAGCTCTCCGCAAAGTCTCCTTCTTGCCATTGCTCGGTCATGACCTGTACTCTGCAGCAGGGTGGCATGTAATTAAAAAAATACCAAGGAGAAACAAATACATTTTATTTGGTGTCTACTCCTTTCCCAGCCTGTTTGCACTTGGCTGCACTGTCTGGCACCGTCCTGCTCTGCAGAGTAGAGCTGAGAATACAACTCACCAAACACCAATGAATGAAATGTTTCCTTGATCTCTATGTTCAGTCACGTTTCAATGATAACAACGTATACAAATATAATAGAATGCTCTCTGTTACCCCTCCTTTAATTACATTAAGCTGCTAAAGTAGTACAAGACAGAGAACGATGTCTGCAAAGCAACCTGCCTTTTAAATGGCAGGGGAAATGCAATGCCTAAAACGTCGTTTTCCCTCTCCTTAGCTCTTGCGTCCATCTGGAATAAGGAATATGCAACTTATCCTGGCCTGTCAGGTCATTCAGAAAAGTGGTCTTTTGGTGGCTGTTCAGCAAGGCTCCTTTTGTTACTTGGTCCAGGCTCCCCAACCCCTGGGGATCTTCTTCTTCACATTGCACTAGTAACAGGTTTTGTCAGACTTAGCCCAAAGAAGCTATCTGTTAATTCTGATTATAATCAGTTGGATGGTAGTCCTGCTCAACACCTGGAACGGTATCACTGATGACTGCAGGAACTGCAATGATTGTGTATTAGCATATGACAAGAATAAATGGTGTCACATCAGTGATTTATGTAAAGTCTGTTAGCTGGGTAAATGATGGATCATAGCTAAAAACATACCTCAAGAGAGGACTGAAAGAGATTGGAGATGAATTGCATTCAAAAGGCTTGAGTGAAATCTCACAGCCTGTGGTATACAGTAAGGCTAGCAATCACAACCTGACCTTGAAATATGCATTCTTCTAGGATGGTAAAACCATCAGTTCCTGCTGCTTTTGTTTGTCCTGTCTTCTGAAAGCAGAAGTATGGTCAACACTATTTGTAATGGGAAACACTTGTGCCAGCCTGATGCCACAATGTTGGTTCAAAAGCTGCCAGCCAAGGTCACCAAGCCATTACGGTTCCTCATCTTATATTCAGCTTTTTTTTTTTCATCCTGTGTTTAATATATGGTGCTCAGGAGCTGCCCTTGCTTCATACATGCTAAATTCTTGTAGGGCTCTGTGTTGCATTTTCTTATGCAGCTGTTGTCTCTCTTCCAAAAACAGCCGCGTATAGTGACGAGCCAAGTGACCTCCTGTGCAATTCTGAATTTAACAGCAAAGAGAGATTCTTTAGGGCTCATCTTACCTTCTCTGTGCTTATATTGAGATCTCTTTCCATGTTCCTTAGGACACTCCATCCATCCCCCCTTGGCCCCCTCTTGCATTCCCGATGCTCCTCGCGCTCAGTCCCTCGCCACTAGGCACTATCCTCAGCTCATCCCTGTGTATGGGAAATACCCGTGTTTTGCTGTTTAACGGGGCAGGAAGCACTTTGTTCCATGGCAGATTCGTAGCTGCACACATGCTGCCTGCCTTGGCTGTCATGCTGGGAGCCCAGCTGGCCGCTGCCTCGTGGGAGCTGAGCAAGCCAAGCAAAAGGGCTAGGGATCAAACTCTCCTTGCCTTTTCCCTGAGCAGAGTGTTCTCCTCACTAGCTGAGTGCTGATTTTGCAAAACTGGAAGGAACTTTCTACCCCTGAGACTTCTGTTCTTCCATCAAATGTGTTTAAAATTAGTCAGAAGGTTCAAAAGGTGTTAGAGATGGGTTGAACCAGCCAAGGGAATGAGGCTAAAACATTTCCTGTGTGAAAACAGTTTCTTTCTGAGTTTAAAAATGAAAACCAGATGTTATCATGGCTTCCCGTTGTCTCAGGTCACAGAGCTGCAGTGCAGGGAGGGGAGGGAAAGAAGTCTCACGCAGCTGTGACTTGCAAGCCCTGAGCATCAATTGCCATTCCTAGAGCAGTGTCCTATACACTTTATTTCCTTACATTGGAGGTGAACGTAAGGAAGTTCCTAGGGCCAACATTCGCCCCACAGACTGTCAGCTGTACCAGAACAAATTTGTTTCAGCACTGCATGTTTTGTATCCTGTCCCAACATGAGCAGGACAGCGATTCTGCACTGTACAGCTGAATCCACTGATCCAAACAAACTGATATCCTGATGGCCCACCAGAAATAGGCTCAGTGCGGTCAGAGCTGCCTGCTTGCTGCTGAGCAGGAGCCCTTCGCACCACTGATCTCATGCAACATCTGGTTAGCGCCTGGGTCATGTTCCAGGGAGCTATCGCACTCTGTGGCTGTTGGGTGTCCAGGTGTTGGCAGCTGGATGGCCAGCTGTGCAGCCTCCCAGAGCTGGCTGGACCAACAAGCACCAGAGAGGCCATGGTCTAGTTCTTCCTAGAAGCTGTTTTCCATTCCCTCTCACTAAGAAGCCTGAGATTCCCCATCTTCATTTCTAATCAGATGCTGTGGCACTCAAATCCTCAGTGGAATTGAGCAACCTTGGTTTCTTTCCCAAATTGACCCTCTGTGCTGCCATACAAAGCACTACTGTTGTGTGTCTCTGCTGATAACTGTGAGTAGTCTTACTCTGGAAGCAGCTCTTCATCTTCCAGTAGAAAAGGATTGATCCTCCAAACATTTCATGCTCTCTTACTGGCTAAATTCTGCATGGTTTCTTTTCCACAGAATGGCAGAGACTGTATTTTTTGTTCTCGGATGTCTACTCTCCTCTGTAAATCATTTAATGACTGTTGCATCCACTCTGGATCAGGTTTTGCTGATTTACCATCAGTGGATATTAGCTAACTAATCAAACACACACAGAGGACAAATAATACAACCAATAGAGGCAACAATAAGGAGGTGATGCATCTGTTATTCCAGATTAATATGTAAAACTGGAAAAAATCTTGTATAACCTCCTTACACAGGAAAGGGAGACGGTTGCAGGATGTCACAGGCTGTGTCTGCACTGAGGGACCCAGTGCCCTGGGTGATGTGGTTGCCTACCCGACCCAGGCCAAGGCCCGTGGCATTTCCTTTCAGCCCATGTGAAGGAGAACTGGTTGCGTGATGCCAAGGGAGCTGTGTGCCCTGCAACATCCACCCTGGTCCGGATGGTTGATAGCCAAGACCTGTGTGCTGTGCCTTGAAGGATACAGGCTTAACCAACCCAGTCTCAACGTGAAATAAGTCCTCAGGCAGACCAGCCTGTTTGATACTGGTCTAGAACCTTCAGAACGGCAAACTCCCATGTATTTGTAATTCAGAGCCCAACATTTCTACACTGACCTCTTTTTTAGGCTGCAATATATCTCAGGAATGTTGTCCTCCTGTCAGCAATCACACTGCTCACATCTGCCCATTTACTGCCCGTTTACTTCTAAGGCAGTTGCTGACCACTATTTTTTTTATTACATCTTCTATTAAAGCAGGAAGTATTGTTCTCTGGGCAATACGTCCATTTTCTACTGCAGCAGAGCAAAGACGTTCTTTGGTAGACCCATCTGCGAGCTGGCAATAAACCAAGCCAATCTAGTACTTCGGCGAAGGAACTCAACTCTCCAAACATGGCTTTTTTTCTTATTTTGATCTTTCCCTTTCCTGCTATATGAAAAGACAATAGTTTTGCTTGGCTTGCAGGGGAATTAGTGTTCTTTTTTAGCTCCCCTGCAATATGGAAAACCAAAGAAATCTGGACTGTGAAGTGTCTGTGCCACTCTTGAAATATGACTTCAAGAACTTGGAAAAGTACCACTTGTTCCTACTTGAAAATGAGGATTATTTTCGTATATATATGCAGAAATTTCTGAGGTTTCTTCATACCAGGAGGCACTGGGACTTAAACAGGTGATGTGGGGGGACGAGTGTATTTTTTTGTGTTCCTGGGGAGGCAAACTGATTTTCCAGACAAGTGATCTAGATATACAATTATTCGTACATATTTGAAAATGTGAATATCTGGGAATACTCGTATTTTTTTTTGCAGCTGATTGAATGTCGAGAACGTTGTCTGATTTATAAATCCAGTACTGCCTCTGACTCTGCTGCCGCTACAGTTTCATTATGCCTCTGCTCAATGAGAAAGGGGTTTTTTTTCCATGACTTTCAATGATCCCAGTGAATTATTATATCATAAAGCCAGGGTAAATGAAAGCATACAGAATTGCAAATCTGCATTGATTTAGTAGGAAGAGCTGCCAGTCTTTATGAGAGCAAGCACGGAATTGATATTCGTGATATTTTAGGAAGGAAATATAAGTCTAACATGTCGGAGCGGTTGAGCAAGTGGAAGAAATTCAGTGTCTGGGAGTGAAATAGAGGATCAGCTGCTGCAGGCAACCACTCAGCCACTTCATTTTCTCCTAGACATTCTCCATCAAAATACCATTAAAAGGTACTTATTACAGACCCTGCCCTCCACCAGGTAGGAGTTGGTCTGGTGCACATGTGAATCCTAAGCACTACCTGCTTTACGTTGCCCCGGGCCCCCACTGTGATGAAACATAGCGATGGGCTCTTGATTCCAAAGGCATGTTCCCGGACACCCTGGTTCTTGGTGTGAATTGGAGGTCTGAGAGTGTTCAAAGCCTGTGGAGATAACCTGCTATGTAAAGCAAGAAATGCAGATATCTCGTAGGAGTTTCTGAACATGGGTGAGTTTACAGTTGAAAACATTGCAAAATCATGAGAAATAATGAACTGTCCAGGATATGGCCATTAAATATGACTTTGCTCCTCCTGCAGAACAGAGCCGTATGTCCACTTGCTAGCTCCTTGGCCCGGTTTCCTGGCTTTTACATGGGGTACTGTGTACTGACAAGCTACTGGCAAGACCCAGATGGAGCAATTTTTTATAATATTCAATGCCCATCAGCTGGAAGTTAAGCACTGAAAATTCTGTGCTAACTGAGCAACCTGTGGTTCGAAGGTACAAATAAAAAGGCATCCAACATGTCCAGCCCAGCCCAGGCAGCCTCACAGTTCCTGTTACTGCTGTAATGCCAGCATGTGGAGGTGCACTATTTTTTTAATTTGACACTATTTCTTTCACCATTTGTTTCACTCACACTGAAGTTAAAAATGTGTAAAATGGGAGAATTTCCTCAGAGCTCATCTTATCACTGGTAGCTGATCCACAAGATGCAGTGTATTTGCACCAGTTATATATAAGGAATGAGTAAAATGAATGTTGCTAGAGAAGCTGTGTCTAATCTAGAGAAGTTATTTGAGTGGTTCAGATGGAGGCTATCAGTTTACCTTTTGAGAGGTGATTCTTCTCAGCTCCCACGATTTCACTCCTTCATTAGGCCTCCAGCAGCTTTCGTGTCCATTCAGCTGGAGAAACAGGGAGCCCAAGATAAGATACTGATCACTTTCACTCAAAAAAGAGAAGTGCTGGGCAGCAGGCTGCAAAACTCTGGAAGTGTCAGAAGGCTCCTCAGCGTTTTTGAGAGGGATTGTTGAGTTTTGGCATGTAGGCAAAGTGGTAGCTTTGAGTTAGTGTTGTACTTAATCTGTGGTTACTTTAGGGAGAAAGGTAACCCCGTGGCAGGTGTGGAAACACCA